GACTAGTTTCTTTAGGAACCAAAATAAAAGCGTAGATTTTATATATTTTATTAATACTTTATTTAATTATTCAAAAAAACAAAACAATTATAATGGGTATTATTTTAGATAAACAAAATATTATTATAAGAATTATATTATTAAATTATAATGGTTACAATTCAGTTAAACGAAATATTATTTTCCAAGGATCGGAGAAATTTATGATTTCCGCGCGTGACTATTCCGTAGGGGTGGACTTATGTCACCTCAGTATATGAATTATACATAAGATCAGTTGCTGTCAAAGATGACGATGTTTCGGCGACTGGCTCTGGCTTGTTTGTTATGAAGACTCCTGTCTTTGTACTAAGGGATGTGATAATTTGGCTGAATGATCAAAGAGAAAATTAAATGAAAATTAGTTTCCTACTTTGATCGAATTGACCAGGTTAGGCTGATTAAGCCTGTAAACTAAGATTATCCTGATTTGATCGAATTGACCAGATTAGGCTGATTAAGCCTGTGAACTAAGATTTTCCTGATTTGATCGAACTTGACCAGATTAGGCTGATTAAGCCTGTAAACTAAGATTATCCTGATTTGATCGAACTTGACCAGATTAGGCTGATTAAGCCTGTAAACTAAGATTTTCCTGATTTGATCGAACTTGACCAGATTAGGCTGATTAAGCCTGTGAACTAAGATTTTCCTGATTTGATCGAATTGACCAGTTGAACTTGTTTATCGTTTGATCTCCAAGACGCAAGTTGTTCGCTTTGTGAAATTCGCGTTCTTATATACTGATTTGACCGGAGCTTTTTGGTGTAGCGTACCGGTAAACTTCGTTGTTCGAGTTGACTTTTTTTGTGCTTTTCGTGTCTTTCTTGTGTATTTTGTGTATTGTCGTGTTCTTTGTGTTATTTGCATTTTTGCGCACTTTTCTTCGCCTTCCTTTGTTTTCGCCGCGATTACGTTTTGTTTATTTCGTGTTTTTTATATATAAAATAAAATATATAAAATTAATATAAAAATATATTTATAATTAAAATACATATAATATGTATCAAAATAAAAATATAAGTGAGTGTTAAATACATGTGGTAAATAGAATTTTAATGCTACTGCATAAAATTAGTGCTGGTGTAATTTGGACTTGTAGTTTGTTTCCTCCGTCGGTGTTTTGTTTATGTTTATAAAAAAAATATAATTTAGTAACGCAGTGATTTTGTCTTTTTTTTATTTCTTTTGTGTAAAATAAAAATAACATAAACTAAAAATCAGAAGTATTGCTTGTGATATGTTTTTTTGTTTATCGTAAAAAAAAACGTAACCAGTGAGTGTTGTTGGTTGATTCTATATATTTGTTTATTATATTTTTTTCTATTATCAAAGGTTTATTAAATAATAGTGCAAAAAAAATGTTTATTAAATAAATGTGTTGTTTATTGTTTAGTAAATGTTCAATGTATGTTTTAAATTACAATATGTAAAAACTTCCAAATTCATTCATAAAATTCACTTTTTGTTTATTGCTTCTTCTTTAGGTTTGTGCGGTTTACGAATCAATGCCCGCGGTTCATCTCGCTAGTGGATCACAGGTAATGTCTGTACACTTAAATGACCAAATATATATTAATATATTTCTTATTTCTTTCAGGTATTTACGATGTTATATTTTGGTGGGTGAGTGCTGGTGTTGGTTTTTATGCTGACGGTCTGACGTCAGATTTGAATTTACGTATATGTATGGTTGAAATTGTTGTATGGAATTTCAGCCTTTACATTCTCTCCCTTCTTCGGTGAACTGAAAATTTTTTTGGTAGCACAATTTATTTTACTCGTATTTTTGCTACGCCTCTCCGGCTGATCTGCACTTGGTATACTTTGCCTTGTACTAGACGTTTGAAACTAATTCTTTTTCCTGCCCCTCGTTTTCCATTGGCATCGCGGATAGCTTGGCTTAACTCGGGTGGCCATTCATCCTCGATTTCTCTGACGTTATCTGCCACTGGTGGTTGTGCTTCGACTGAATTATTCATTAATTCGTTGTATAGTTCGTCAACCACTGGTGGTGGTGGTGATGGGCTTAATTCACCAAAAATATCATTCCACGTGCATTGTAATACATCGTGATCATCGTTTTCTCCACTTACGTGTGTAGAGATTGCTGGAGCATCTACTTGATTATTCGGTGAGTGTAAGTCACTGATGTTTTGGTGATGATTTTTTTTACCTCGCCATCCAATGGCTTTTGGCAGCAATTTACGGTCGGCGGGCCTTATGTTAGGTTGTGTTTGACTGACTTCTACAGCTCGGATCTTCTTACTGACTTGACTTCCTTGTTTTTTTATTTTAAAACGTTTGTCCATTCGTTCTACTGCATTTGGTAAATAACGGCTGCGTGGTTTGCTTGCCTCGAGATCTTCCAGTCTTTGTCGTACACGTGTGGCCGTGCGTTTAAACTTTGCTTCGAAATTCGTTGTCATCTTGGACTTTCTTGATCATACTGTCTTCTTAGGACACTCGTGGTCCTTATATAT